AAAACCTTGATTAAGAACAAAAAAGTGTGTTCTCTAAATTAAAGTCCATACTTTCCAAAAACATACAAGGTACTTCAATTTACTTCTCCAAAAGAAATGCCATAGTGTTGATGCTTGAGACCAAATTTCATATTAATTTTAAGATATTCAGGATTGAAGATTGGCCTGTTGGCTCAACAGATAGGCGCCTTGGACTAGCCCGTGTGGTTGCCTATTTCTTGTTTCATCTCAGAAAAACCCAGACCCCCTTCCTATGCCCACATTTGGGGCTCTTGACTGACGAGCAATTTGTAATTATAATACTAGACATCATACCAGACTCCACAGTCTAATGTATCAGCTGTCATCTGGTCTAGTTTGGCATGAAAAATAACCTGGCTGTTGAGATTTCTCATTGGCAGTCAGATAACGAGGCGATGTGCAACAGCTAGAATTAACCTGACAAAAAGAGACAACACCATCTGGGGCAAACGTCACGTTTATGACTGAAATTCCATGAGTTGTCCCACTGGAGTACTGACAACCACCTACATGTCACTGACAAACTGTATGTGGTTGGGAGTGTGTTCACAGGCGGAGGCAGATTAAGCTCCAAGGACTATAAAGGGATGCCAAGTAACAAGTAACCCAGACACCTGCTACATTTACAAGGACCTAACATGACGTACAACAGTCCTACATGCTTCATACCACACCATGCAAATGTTTGTTGTTTTTGAAAAGAAAAAGAAATTCATGATCTGGGTGCCGGTTACAAGGGTGATCCCCAAAGACCTCCCAAGATACAGGAACTGGATCACGTTCGCCTGAATGGCTGGGCAATAAAGATTTGCTGATGCTTGAAATTAATAAAGATCTGTCTACACGAAACACACTCTGGCTATGGCCTTAATAAGCATAACACTATTAACTGCTTTTTTTAGATGGAGGACACTTGACAGTGAGTGGGTTCTGGGAATGTGTTTTCTCAATGGTAAAATTAACACTGTTCCTATGAAAATGCTCAACTAAAGTGCAATGTATTAACACACAGTAAATAGCTCTACTGGAATGTTATTAACAGAGTATGAAAATTATCTAGGTATATTATGTTTACCTGAGACACAATAAAAGATTGTCATACTGCTAAAAGATCATCACCCTTACTGACAATCAGATCTAACAGTTTAGAGTAAGGAGCTGTTCACACTTATTACAAAACCAGTCAGTTGACCTGTGTTATTAGGAACAGAAGTGGCTGGAATGAGAATTTGCTCAGTTGAGCTTTATTTAAATGTCGAAATGCCTTCTGAAAAGTATTGTCATGAAGTGACCATACTTTGGACAAGGTTGCAAAAGTACTGTTAAAAAGAACCTTCCAATTACCCTAATTTCCTCACCAAGAGTGAATTTTATAGCTTCAAATAATCATTACCTCAAATCTTCCAAGAAAAAAGATTTATTATGAGACCTTGATCTCGTAATCATAAGATAATGTGTCAAAAAAAATATTTGGTGAATATAATGCGCTTTCATGACTACACTGGATTAGAGAAAATATGTCCTGTATTTTGGATTTTTTAGTTTGACCCATGTCCCATCTGTTATCATTGAGGAGGTGGGGTTTATGAGATATACTGCAGCCAGTCAGCAGGGGGAGCGCTAAATAATAATAATAATAATAATAAATTAGATTTATATAGCACTTTTCTAAATACTCAAAGACGCTTTGACAGGAAACAACAAAAAACTAAGCGAAAACTAAGAGAACAATACGACATAGAAGTAGTGTAAAGGGAATAGGATGAGAGTCAGTGGTTGTAGGCGGTGATGAAAAGATGAGTTTTTAGGGATTTCTTGTAGGAAGTGAGTGTGGGGGAGTCTTTGATGTTTTTAGGGAGAGAGTTTAAGAGGGTGGGAGCTGCAATGGAGAAGGCCCTGTCCCCCCAGGACCGAAGGTTGGTCCTGCAGGGGGGACAGATAAAATCTTATGGCTAGTCTCCCAGGAGCCTTATATTGACTATATCATAAAAGACGGTCAATGGACCACACAGACAACCACCGTCCTTGTGAAGGTCCAAATTTACTGAACCTACTTTCTGAGAAAGTTGAGAAGAACCAGTCTAACCAGAATTTTCTGGTACATTTCTACAAATGCTCTGTGGAAAGAACTGAAAGAACTGTGAAGGATTATCAGAGCAGACCAGAACATCACTGGGAGCCAGCAAATCGGACATCTACCAGACCTGCTGTCTTAAACATTGTGACCCAGTTTACCCAGGCTACCACCTCTTCTGACTTACCTCAATATAATTTGAGTCAAAACATTTAATAATACCCAGTAAAATGATGAAATCCTCCTAAAGTTGAAAACCCTCAGTTTTGATATGCAGTTACCCTTTATCTTCCTTAGTTTGTCAAAATGTTTTAAAAAAGAAACAGAACAACTAACAGCAATGTTACTTTACAGAGCTACAAAACACCTTTTCAAAACAAAGCAGTTAGTTCAATTATGCATCCGCTATATCCATATATATCCATATATCCCATATAATAGGAATAGATTATGGGAGCCGGATGTGTGGGTCTAACCTACATTTATCCTTCTTTCCTGTGTTAGAGGCTCACATGCTTGGCATTATTACCCACTTTTCTTTCCTTTTCACTCTGCATTAGCTCAGCCTGACACAGAGCACAAGGCAATCAGCACCAGTCAAAAGCGGGTATCTCTTTCTGCCATCTGGTACTCTGTTCCATATGCAGAGACTTGTTTTCTGTTCGAGTATGGATCATGCACCATTCTATATAAATCAGATTAATAGAATGTGTTTTTCTTGTCACAGCTGAATGGTATGTGTTTTGTTGAATTTGGAGTCAGCTAATGAAGCTAAAATTGACATTGTGTGATAAATGTGAAATGATTATTTCTTACAGCTGACTGTTTTCCATTAATCAGTCTTTCCCTGACGTGTTGATGCAACAGGTCTCTGTCCAGAGCAGATGGAAATACAGCGTCACAGCAGCTCACAAAACATGTGAATGGAGGTCTGTCTGGTGTGAGAGATCTGTTAATTTATCACAATGTGTCAGAATGCAAATACGTAAGGCTGGTTCAAGGGAGAAGACACTTTTGCTTTTGGGTCATGCTTTGAACATCCTTCAGTTCAGTTTAATGTTGTTTTGGGTCTAGGAAACACTTTGCAGTACTTTATAAATAGGGCTGCATGGTGGCTTTGTGATTAATGATTTTGACAGATGGGATTTTCTTTGTGTAAATGTTGGTTTCATATGTCTGCCTTTTTTAAAGAAAGTACTGTTTTCAGGCAATTATGCAGGATGCAGAAGGTGAAGTTGATGTGCATCATTGTGATGTGTAGACAAAAGCTCTCAGTAGTGTGAAACGCCACTAAATAACTTTTTGCATTTGCCTTTAGTGTGTAAACGCAGGCACCCAGCCACACAGAACAAAAAAACAGGTATACATGGGCTTCATTGCAACATGTTTTAGACTTTGCATTTTTTCTTAAGAAGTATTTGAAGCATGCTATACACAATCAAAGGACAAGGGGAAAAAAATACATGTATAATTACAACCCCACAATATGATAAATTACGGGTACGTCAAACTTACTAACATGTCATCACGTATTATCCAGTTGAGTTTTGTATAATCAGCAATATTAAGAATAGTGATGGTCGGCATTCATCATTAATGATCTGTGCCAAAGCCAGGTCATAACACAACTAATAAGTGGATGGACCAGCAGCTATAAAAATGGCCCCAACCAGCACTATTCTCTGTTCATAATAATAATAAATACTTTATTGATCCCACGAGGGGCAATTCATTTTTACACTCTGTCTAGTTAACATGCTACACAAACATAGGCCGAAATACACACACATGCACAGACAGGATCCTATGGACATGCACTAATGGAGAAGTCTCAGAGTGAGGGGGTTACCCACAGTGAACATTCCTGAGCTGATGAGGGGGTTGCTTAAGGGCACCTCAGCAGTGCTCAGGAAGTGGACTGGCACCTCTCCAGCTACCAGGATAATTTCCGGACTTTATCGGTGCCGGGACTTGAACCGGCGACCCTCCAATTCCCAACTGAAGTCCCTACAGACTGAGCTACTGCTGCTGTTTGATAAACATTTTAAAAAACATCCCCAATATTCAGTTTTTAACAGAAGCTTACTGCTATAGCTTACTGAAAAATCATTTTTAATTATTTAATTATTTTTCAGTGCGTTGTTGGTACATAGTTTTTCAACATTAAGAGAACACTAATTTAATTAAGTTAAATAGCTTTAATATATTATAACTTTGATTTTAATGTGCTATTTGTCTTTGTATGTGGGTCTTGCTAAAGGTTTTGCTTGAGGAGAAAAATATTACAAATAACCAATTTGAAAGAAAAAAACGTGTATTCTTATTTATCAAAACGTTTTGGACCCAGTTATTTCATAAGAAATATCAAATATCACTGGAAATCCGTCACTGAAACATTTCTCTGACTTTTATGTAACCATGGCTAAAGATTAGATAACAGGAGCGGTCAAAGACCATGGGTTACATTCCATGTTTAGGCTATTTGAGTCCAGCAACTTTAGTAGGCTAGTTGCGCAGAAGATTGCGCATCAAACAGTTCACCCACATTGGCCACACACACACTTGTATAACCGTTTAGATAACAGTCGGGTTTGCGCATGCGCCTATGAGCCAACCACGAGCACCGCTTCATTCATCGGCTGCAGCCTCGTAGTGATTTGCTCTCGCTTCTGACACGCTTGAAACAGCCGTGGGGTTCCACGTGAAATCGTTGACAGCCTTATGTAAAAGAGCGACAGCACTATGGACCAATCACAGTGCGCAGCCGTCGTTAATGCAACCGCCCCTAAGAGGCGGTCGGTCCTGATTGGTTTAGAGCGCAGTGAGGTAGACACGCAGCTGCGTTCTAGACCAATAAGCAGAAGGCTGGAGGAGGGGCTCCGAGCTCGGAATGAGGTCACTATCTGTGCTTGGGATGCAGGGCAGAGCCGGGTTTGTCTTAAAACGTAAGTTGGATGAAGCATCAGTCCGACCAGTCCAGGACCTTCCGAACCCGTAAGATAGCTTCTCCTTGAAATCAGCCACAAAGAGCTCTAACATCGAGAATCACTGTCACGAAGACACAGCAACCAGGAGAGGATTTGCGCTTTGTGAGGTTGGTTTAGTTTTACTATTACGTGTGCGAGCTGTATCCTATTGGGTTTGTTGTATGCCTACAATGTTTCTAAATGTGGCAATAGAAGATACTAAAGCTGCTAATGATATTTACTATGGATAAAGTAGAATAAAGTAGCCTTACAAGCGTAGATCGTCAAAGTTGCATAACTGTGTCAGTGTGAGGGTCAACCCCGGTCAGCAGCCCTGCCCACCTGACAGCAGGGGGACACAAGTCCATCGGTATGGAGACAACCTTGTCGGGCTGTCAGCTGAATAACCAGCAGTGACCTACTCTTAAGTAAAAGTCACTGAGAAACTGTTACCGTGGACATGTTTCGGAGCAGAGTTGAGCGAAGTGTCCCTTCTGTGGAGTCTGTTGTGGTGGCGCATGCAAGACGTGCTTCTCTGGTGTCACATGAAAATTCCGGCATCAAGCCTTACATAAAAAAAAAAAAAGAAAAAAAAAAAAGTCTGCTGCAGCAGGCAGCACATGGCACAAGTTCATACGCAGCACCGATTAGATAATTTGCAATATTCGAGCCACTGCTGTTTGTGTCAGGTGCTTTGTGCGGGTTGCTTACATAAATGGTACATTGTATTTCAGGAACTCGTCTAGGCTGTGTATGTTTCAGCTTTCAAAGACAGAGAAGTCTTGGAAGTAAAAATGTATCTTTATATACTATAATACAGTTTTGTGCTGCTTGACATTTTTAATTTCTTTGTGTTTAGAAGTCTATTTCCATATGAGTGGTGTTGATGTAGCTGTGACTACCGGTAGCCTATATCCCATTTATAAATTAGTAGGTTAACTTATTGCAGGTTAAGTAACAGGTTCAAATTCATTGCGCCGCTGTCAGCTAAATGTTATGTTGGCCTACCTCCAATAACAAAGACCAAAAAAAAAAAACCCACTGACATAATACTGACATAATGCATTCCTGACATTATGTAAAGAGTTTTCAAAATGGAGGTTGGACATGTTTTCCTTACCTGTTCTCCTTTTTGTTCTACAAAGGGTATATTAAAAAAAGGGTTACTGGGTTTGAACCAAAACAAAATATTTGCCTACTTAAATAATTGATAGCCTCTCAGTTTGTTGTTGATTCAGTATAGACCTCTTTTACTTGAGCTACTTTTAACACTTGTCCGCTAATTTAAAGTGAAAGCAAAAACGAAGTAATATCATTTTGCTATTAATCCTTCTAGTTTTCACTGACACATGTCATTTTTACAGTGGTTGCATATTCATAAGACCATTAGGCTGTGATATTCTTTTTTTGGAAAGGATGTCTGATGAAGCGTGAACAGCTGGTGAGGGGGAAGTGTTTGAAATCATACAGGATTAATCATCAGAAGGTTTGACATCACACTCCATACACATTTCCCAAGCTAAAATTAACACCAGAAAGGGAGATACATGCAAGTGATGAAATTCAAATTCTCTTAAAGGGTTGAGTGAATTTTGTAAATGTAGGTTGTGTCCACAGGACTTTTTTACTTTCATGGATTCTGTTAAAAAGTCTGGTTATATAGTGGCTCTCTTTGATATTCACTTCTACAGTGGAGACAAGACAAAAATGGCAAATCGTAATCTTCCCTCTCTAATGGAACAATTCATACCGAACTGAACATTAAGACCTCTGTTCTTTTTTTTTTTTTTTAGCAACCAGGATGAATTGATAAAGAGCTGGGCGGTCTTTAGATGTGCAGTACAGCATGTAGTGTGCAGTTCTGATCCATTACATCTATTTAAGCTGTAACTGAAGTTACATCTAGGTCAGTAAATAAGAAAGCAATTTTTGCAAAGCTGAGAAATGATTGGCTCTATCTGCTAACACACAGTGCATCACCAGCTGATCCTTTAAACGTTATCTAATGATGTTTTTACAGCAAAAGTAATACCGGTAATACGATGGAACATAAGGTGGTATTATTAGAGCACTGTGATATGAATATCTAACTACAGTGGACTAACTGCAAGGGGAATATATATTTTTTAATTTTAACAACATTAAAGCTGTGGCTGGACCGAACCAAATTTCAACCTTACCATTTAATTTGTTACCATTTACCCATTAAATTTCGAGCCATGTCTGAACGGAGTGTTTTGTTCTTTTTTACAATGAAAAAGCCACTTCCTTTGTCTCTCAATTATCTCCAGAAAGTCCACTAACATCCAGAAAGGACAAGTGAGCAACATGTTCCCAACATGTAATGATTGTGTCTCAATCTCCGACTGTCCAGACTGACTTTAAATTGAATTAAAATGAACTTAAGGCTATTAGAAGTGTTATATTTAACCTTTCATTGGTTTTTGATTTGTTTTCTCAGCTTACCTTGTTAGCCACTTGTGCCTCAATGTACTTACCTCAGGGTTGGAGGTAACTGCAACTTTATTGCTCTTATAAAGAGCAATAAAGTTGCTCTACCACGAAGTAAAAGGACAATCGCTGACGTCAGAATTTTTCATGACTCATGTCTATGGATCTTTTAAAACTAGTGCAAATTGTTGAACAAAAAGTGAGACTGCAGATTTTTTTATTTCTATCAAGCAATGTTGCCAAAACAAAATTGAACATTTTCTCTAAAAAAAAAACAAACTTGAAAGGCGCATTAAAGTTTCACCACCAGGCCAGATTAAAAAAAAAAAAAAAATCAAATTGTCAATCCTAGCTTACACTTGATGTTTAGGCAGTACGCAGCAGTCTCTTTCTCTCTTTATCTTCCCCCCCTTTCAGCCTCTCTTCCGTCTCTCTCTCTCTCTCTACTCTCTCGCTCTCTCTCGTAGCTGTCTAAATCTTTGCTCTGTGCAACAAAAACATCCAGTCAGCAGTTTGTGCAGAACTTCCATTATGTATGACATGTTGGCTGACTAATATCTCTGTCAGAGGGTTAACTTGAGTAATAACATTTATCTGAAGATGCTGATCTGAGGTGCTGCTGTTAATGCCGCAGACAGATTATCACAAAAAAGATTGCTCCCCCGCATATAGAATGATTTGTCTACCCTGTTTTCTTTTTGATTGTCTCACTACTTCACTGCATGCTGACCCAGTTCACACAGTAGCGTAGTTGTACACACAAAAAAAAAATCTTTCAGCAGGTCAGTGATAAGTGGTCTGAAGACTGTGAACTCACAGCTCTCTGACATCAGCCAGGGTAAACCCATCGGTTACTTATTAATGGAAATGTTTTGCAGCTTTGGTTTCTCCTCAACATGGCAGAATCATGACCCAATGTTTCAACTTGTGTACAAAGCCACTAGGTCTTCCAGATGAATGGGGTCTTTATATTTTTGTACATTGACTTTGAAGCTTAAGAATTACATGGTCGCACTCCCAGACTGTGTGGCCACAACCTGTGATGGCCTTCAGATAAACACTGTCTGCTTTTTTATGTGGATAATGCCTTTGAAGTGTTTGAGGGCTCAGATGATTCGGATCCACTTCTCTCAAAGGCCACAGTGTCTGTACATGGGGGCATTTTCAATGAACATCAGAGCAACACCTGCAGAGCTCTTCAGAGGTCATAGGTTAAACCCTGCGAGGTGCTCTGATATCTACTCAGACAAAAAGATATCAGACCAGAATTATTTATGTTACCTGTTGCACTGCTTGGTCATAGATTTTGTAAACATTGAAGTGTAAGTACACATACCATACGAGTGTTACTTCATTACTAACACATTATCTCCTTCTTTCAACAGATCATTTGATTCAGTCTGGAAATGCCCTTGTGAAAATGGGGTGATTGTGTTCTTTCTTCATCTATTAACAACACCTGGCATAAGCCCAGGTCACTGCTCCTCCTGATGTCGGAAGATTCAGACATAAAACCCTACCATTTCCCTGAGCTGGAGGATGAGGACGGAACCTGCAGAGTGTCCACCTCCTGCAGCCCGATGCCAAGAGGGGCCTCAGGGTGCAGCTCCATGGCACAGCTGCACCGGATGGGAGGCTACAGCACAGGTGGGCCTGGCCTAGGCCTACCATCCGAGGGCAGCGACAGCAGCGGTCAAGACCCTCCTGCCTTACCGCACAACCACCGCAAGAACATCCGCTCCCGATCGCTCCCCAAGGAGGACGTGGAGATGAAGAGCAGCGGGTCCAGCGGGAGCGGAACAGAATCTCACAGCAACGAGAGTCATGGCAACGAAAGCCGCGAATCAATGGGCAGCTCCAATGGCAACAGCAAAGACTCGGCACTGCTTGAGTCTTCTGAAAGCAACAAGAGGTCAGTGATGGATGTAATCATAAAGCCATAAGGAAGCCTGCTTCTTTCTGACCTGTCTCAGTGGTTGTTAGTGTAAAAAGAAAGAGAAGCTAATCTTAAACGAGTTCAAAGATCTTGTGATGGGGACAGTCAAGATGAGAGGTCATCAGCAGGAGATATTAAATTGGATAAAGTTATGGTGAACATTTTTTTAATGTATTGACTATTTGGCAATAATGCTTCCTTGAGCACACAAGTCATGTAAATCATGAAATATGCAGGGATGTGTGCATTCATTAGTGTTAATACAGACACAGAGTTACATCCATAAATAAAAATTAAAAAAAAGAATCTGATGAATGTATTTCCAGTCCAAAAAAACCCAAATGTTATCCTTTTGATATTATTATTTGAACACTGGCCTTGTACTAAACTTCTTGGAGCCCATTAGTTTTTCCTACAGTTTTATTAGTAGTTCCTTCTCCCCCTTCCTTTGGCCCTCAACCATATTCAGAGTGATCTTTGTCTTTTAGTAATAAAATATATTACGTCATGTCTACTCTGCCTTCCACCTCAACAGACGGGCTCTAATGAATGCAGCCATTAGCATGGCATGTGTGCGTAAGAGCTGACTAATGTCAGTAGATAAGTGACCTGGGGCTGTAGTGATGGTCATCCAGGAAGCCATGTGTTTATAACATTAGCAAATCTGCTCCATTTCCTCTGACCACGAGAGTGGATAAGCTGGAGCTAAAAATGTAAACAGAGATGAATCTGAATAACTGTAAATGAATGATATTCAAATCAGTATTTTTTCCTGCCACCTGAGCCCTACCTACAGGCCAAGCAGACATGATATTTATCATAGGTTGTATTTTTGGAGGCTAAATAAGACTGACATGGAACATAATTCCATTTTACCACGACAATGTCATCACTCCCTGTGAAGTAGATCTCATCCCATTTCAAATAGCACTAACCTAACTGTGTCATTGTCAAACAAACAACATTAATACCAGGCATGCTGCAGCATAACTTCTGCGATAGTCAATACTTTTAAGGTCATCATATAATAATAAATCACGATATATTGTAAACTGAAAAATATCAAATGGCTATAAAAAGGTCAAGTGCAGGATTAAATGTATTGATTCATTACTATTGGTATCAATGTTGATGTTTTGATGACGATATCTTGCCATATTGATATTTGGTCCCACCCACCCCTAATTGTACGAGCATGTGTCTGTAGTTTCACAGCTCATTTGCTCAAGTCATAATGATAGAACATTTAGAACATTTAGAACATGATTAGAACGAGTCCGAAACGTGACCAAAAGTAGGTTGTGACACAGCACGATCTGGAGCGGATTTTGGGCTCCCAGTTGGAGGATTGGATATTTGTCAGTCAGGAGTCTGTAGGCTGGCTTTTCTTCTGATGCCAGAAGGGTTGTGTCACGCTCTGTGACTCTTTGTTAATGCCATGGCAACAAAACTATTCTCTGTTTATCACTGAGCGGAAGAAGCACAGTTGCTTGCTCTCACATTCTTTTCTCTCCCACTTTCTGCCCTGCCTCTCTTACCTCATTTTCCCCGTCAGACCAGACTTTTTTTTACCACTCCTTTTTCTTGTCTGCATTTGTCTCACACACCCAGGCAGCTCCCTCCCTCATGTAGTGATGGGAGGACTGTAACTACTTCCAAACTAGTGATAAGATTGTGACGATGTTTTATGCCTTGAATGACATTTACACATCTGTTTGTGTAAGCCATCATGTGATATTTAGTTTCCTTTAACATTGTATCATTCACCCAAAGCCGCATTTACTGGTGTGACACAGACCATGCTTTACCTGTCTGTGGCTCTCAGCCGTGCATAAAAGATGCAGTCAAAATACCGCCTTAAAAATGCAAAACTCCTCTTTGCCTTATTCATACACAATTGATTCCTTTGTTGTTCCTGTCTCTTCAATCGGATGAGGTAATCGGTCAAACGTTGACCCTGCCAGTCAGTGGAAGGTTTATGACTAAACAAGGCCACCTCGCGCTGATCTTCACCTTGAACAGAGCTTAACAGAAACACTTTGGCATCTTTTGGGAACTTGTTTCCACGACTCACTGAGACGACTGAATACAGCCGTGTCAATTAACCTACTGATCACTAATACAGGTTAAGGCTCTGTTGCATTTGGAAGCACTGACTGCAAATGTAATAGAATTGGAAACCTTCCTTTTGCTAAAAGCGGTTATGTCTAAAGGACTTTTCTATTCCTGGAAAGGTAAGCAGGTTAATCATGGTCACCCTGAGATGAGTCAGTGAGTCACTATTTCACAGCTGCTGTAATGCTCATCAGATAACAGTCGACTGTCTACTTGTATATATATATATATATTTTTAATACTAAAATGGCTTTCTTTCTTAAATAATAGACTCCCCCCATCCTTGTTTACAGCTTATAAAACAACTTGTCAAAATGGCAAAAAAACAAAATCCCATGTATAATGGATTGTTAGGTGTGCCTGGGATCCAGCATGCACATTACCGAAGCACTTCAAATAATAATCAGATAAAATACATGTATTTGAATCATTGATGTGTTGATGTTTAGTAAAACTACTTATTCATCACAAATTAACTTTTTTTTACATTTACGGAATTTATTTGGTACATTCACCCATATTTGTAAGTAAGACTGTCACTGGCACACACAAAAAAAACTTCCCAAAGAGAAAGCAAAGAAATATATTTTGAAATACAGAAACTTCATATTTCTGTATGTGTTTTCTGAGATCTCCTTCGAGCTGTCTCCTAGCTATCAGCATGCATTTATCATGCATCAGTTTAGAAGCTGCATGTAATGCTTTTGATTTCCTTTGGGCATTGCATTGGGCTCACACCCACAAAAAACAAGGAGGATTATATCCTTTGTACAGCTGATACTCCACAGTATCTACTTACGGTCTGCTTAGAAGATGCAACATTGTGGCAGAGCTCTGGCTCAGAAAGTTTTCCACCATGTCAAAGTTTTATCCTGAGCTGAGCAACCTTTCCTCACCTTCACCTAGGAGAGAGAAACAGGGGGTGCAGACAGATACGCTACCCAACTGTTAATCGACCTACTCTGAGTAACTGTTTCTAAATCTCACTCAGTCATACGTGAAGCCTTGTCTAGTCTAAAAGCAGCTGTTGTATTTTGAAGCACTAAAGGCTGCATTTAAAAGGCTTAAAACCTTCTTGTGCTTGGAGAAGCTATTTGTGAAGGGTTGTTCTATTCCTAGCCTGGTAAGTAGGTTATACATAGTTACTTGTTCTGTAATTAGTCATTGCCGCCGAGGACTTTCATGTATTAGTGTAGCGTTAAGCTTGTAGGCTAATGCAGTGGATCTCCCTAACAAAGACACAGACATAAGCCCTAGTCACTCATGCACAAAATTCCTGAACATTCCCCCAAAATTTTGTGGAAGGGCTGCATATGGGAACAAAAGCAGCTAATTTATCTACCTTATTCATCAACTTTATTCAGATTTTTTTTCTGCCGCCCATAGTACCATTTCCTCCTGAAGTTGGAGTTGGCAAATGTGTGAACACAGATGGGAATATTCGGGGGAAAAAAAATCCGGCTTTAAGAGACATGTGTTAACAAGCAACTGAGGAATATTCTTGGAGCTACTCTGAACAATCGTTCATTGTTGATACTTACTGTTTTAGGGCTCCAAGAAAGCTGTTATTACAGGCCTCAAAATTTCAAGCTGTGCCTTTGCTACTCATTGTATTCAAGTCCCTAAATCTTACTTTATTAGGGCTATCCTGCCTTGCGCCCTTTGAGCTACAGGTGCACTTCTGGTCCTCAGGGAGGTGAGAGTGACCTCAGATTTGAAGTGTGGTTCTTAGGTGGAGCTGCATGTGCATTGTTCACTAGTCAATTCATCAAAGGCCCCTCAAAAACCTCTTATCCTTTTCGAGGCTCATTTTAGCAGCCCCCCCATGTTGTGACACTAGACACTATAGGCTATTATTACCAAACTCAAACACCCAATCAACATTAGGTGTCTGTGCCAGGTGAGAAGACCCTTCTTGTGTGAAATGTGTGCTTCAGGAATATCAGGAAATTGCGTGAATACTTTGTTAGGTATCGCTCAAATGAACTAAGCAAGGACGTAATATTGTTGTCTTTGTGTCTCTCTGTTATCAATCAATTTCTATAATGTTGGGAAATCTTGTCTCCTACAGCTCAAACTCCAACAGTCCATCTCCTCCCAGCAGCTCTAACGCCTTCAGCCTGTTGAGCTCCGAGCAGGACAACCCATCAACAAGCGGCTGCAGGTTAGTGCTTTAAAAAGCCACAGTAACACTGAAAACACTTGTTTGTAATTTTCAGGACAATCACATCAATCATACTTGGGAACCAATAGTGCTAACACGATGCTTCTATCAAAGTATTTAATTGTCTGCTTTTTAAGATCTTTTCTACATGACAAATCTTTCTATATATCAATCTATATCTTAGGGACAGTTTCCATTGTTGCAATTCTCTGATTTGCTCCGGTGCATGTGTGTTTATGCATCTTGCAGTAGTCAGGAGTCGGCCAAAGCCAAGACCCAGAAGGAGGTGCTAAAAATTCTGAAAGAGCTGAAGCATCTTCTTCCTGCTGAGAAGAGACACAATAACAAGTCCTCCACATTGAACACCCTGAAGTACGCCCTGCGCTGCGTTAAACAGGTGGAAGGTGAGAAAAACCTTTCCTATTTATTGAAGTCTATTCACATTCTAAATGTTTATATCTGTCTGTGCTTTCATTATTCCCTCCACATTCATGTGTAAATCTATGAATACAGCTATCATGTGTACCACATTGATGTCTTATTTTGAAATTGAGATACTAAAGTAGCTAAATAAAGGGAGAAAGAAATGCATAACTTTGCGGTGGAAGGCACATTTTCTTGGCATTTCTAAGGATAGAAATAAGCCTTGAGAAACCATTAACCGGTCTTAATGTTTACTGATGGCACTGTGAAGTGTAGAGGGTCTGTTGTTACTGAACGGACTCATTTAAGCAGAAGCTCTTAGACTTTATTTTCCCTCTCATAATTTACCTGTGTTCACTAACAAATAGTCCCTAATGGATTTCTTATCATCCAATAACTGTTTCTGTTTTCTTGCAGCCAATGAGGAGTATTACCAGCTGCTGATGATCAATGACAGTCTGCCTTCAGGCCTGGATGTTTCCTCTTATACGATAGAGGAGATCGACAGCATAACCTCTGAATACACCCTCAAAAACAACGTGAGCCACTCAATTATCTTGAAAATAATCAAATTAATAATGTATCTATATTTTCAGCTGGGTTTTCTCATGTGTCCTATGCTTTTGTCACTTCGACAGGATATGTTTGCAGTCGCAGTGTCTCTGAACACAGGAAGGATCGTCTACATCTCTGACCAGGCTGCCTCTATGCTCAGCTGCAAAAGAGATGTGTTTAAAGACACCAAGTTTGTTGAGTTCCTTACGCCGCAGGATGTCAGTGTTTTCTACAGCTTCACAACGCCGTACCGCCTGCCCTCCTGGAGCATGTGCACTGGTGCAGGTATGTGAAAACTTCACTGCTCTCTAAATACACAGAGTCAATAATACCCAAGAGGGAAAGCTTGATTATAATAATAGTTGGAGCATAAGTGTGATGTGGAAAGATTATTTGCACAGCCTGCAAGTACTGCACTTCAAGGTACTTGGCATACATTAAGAAATGAAAAAAAAACATAAGTGAATGAAATCAGGGGCTTTCAGCATCATAGGGGGAGTCAGCCTGTGGATAGCAAGCTTTGGCGTCAAGAGGAATGTTCACCCAGAAAAATATTTGCTGTACAAGCCCAAATTTGGTGGCCCGTGGCACATTTTTATTCACTTTGTAGAAAATTCCATAACCACTTTGTTATTGTGTGCTATCATGACCAGGTCTTAACCTACACCCCTCTGTTCATGTTGCCGACAATCTTTGCTACACATCAGACACACCATTGCACAGAATCTGTTGTGATTTGTCCTACACATGCCTGGAAATATTTTGGCTAGCACATGAAATTCAGACTTGACTCTAATCCAACCTTAACTTTAAATTCATAGAAGCCGCAGGTCTGCCCTCCTAAGTGATGTTTTCATGCAAATAACCAAAGCCTGATCACCTGCATGTAGCCGTGATCCTGACCAGCATTCGGTGAGATTGTGTTGATTTTGAATTAAAACATTTCTTTTTTTCCCCTGTTCAGAGTCATCGCCATCTGACTGTACGCAGGAGAAGTCCTTCTTCTGTCGTATCAGGTGGGTCAAACTTGCTGTTGGACCATCTGCTGCCTGTAACCCTTTCTAGTTTTTATTCATGCTTCCATTCCACTCTAGATGTGTTTCAATTAGTTTGTGACATCATGTGCTTGTGACTTCTAATCTGATGCTTTTTCCAGTCCAGTTTCATACATAATAGAACACACACACAGAAAACACACAACTTACTGTACTTTTAATAGCTCAACACGTTCCCTTTCTGTTTAACTAACAAAACCTGCGGACAGACAGTCCTAATTTAGTTTGTTTTAACTGAATTCTTTTTCAAACTAATTTCTAGTGGTGGCAAAGAGTGCAAAGGCGATCTGCAGTACTTTCCGTTCCGCATGACGCCCTACCTGATGAAGGTTCAAGACACAGTACATGCTGAAGACCAGTTCTGCTGCCTCCTGCTGGCCGAGAGAGTTCACTCTGGTTATGATGGTAAGAAACACACTGCAGGTTTGAGAATCCAAGCCATAACTCGTACTCAAAATTGTTCAAGCCCATTAATCTTGAATTCGATTTTTTTTCTTTTTCTTTTTCTTTTTTTTAAAGCTCCTAGAATACCAACGGACAAACGCATCTTCACCACCACACACACTCCGAGTTGCGTGTTTCAGGATGTGGATGAAAGGTAAGCCAAGTTTTGAGTCTGTGCACAGAAATGACCAAACTGCTAAGGTATCGATGGATTGGTGCAGTTGCTTGCAAGCTAACTTTGCCTTGTGTTTTGTTTGCCTCAGAGCGGTTCCTCTCCTTGGGTACCTCCCCCAGGACCTGATCGGCACATCAATCCTCCTCCACCTGCATCCCAATGACCGACATATTATGTTGGCCATTCACAGAAAGAGTAAGTCTGCCAAAAAGAACGGATGAGGACAGAATGTCTTGGGTTTGCACAGGAAGCCCTTCATGGTCTGACTACATCATTTTGTCATTCCCTGCAGTTCTTCAATATGCAGGGCAGCCGTTTGACCACTCATCCATCCGGTTCTGTGCCAAAAATGGAGAATACATCACTCTCGACACCAGCTGGTCCAGTTTTGTCAACCCCTGGAGCCGCAAGGTCTCTTTTGTCATAGGGAGACACAAAGTGCGGATGTGAGTATTACTGTCTTGTAATACCTAAGCTGATATACTGTGCGTCAGTCAGCTGCACTTTCTTTTTTTTTCTTTTTTTTAACATACCATATTTACACAGCCAAAGAAAGTAGAAGTTTTCTTCCTGCTCTTTAATAACTTAAAAAACAAACAAACATTGATCTTGTAGTCTTGAACTAAGTTTTACTCTGGACATCTGATGCTGCGTTTGTTTAGATTTTTTCAGTTCTGTTTTGGTAAATATCTTGTTTTCTCAAGTGTATTTCTTTTTCTTTCTGGTTTATCAGGGGCCCTGTTAATGAGGATGTTTTCGTGGCCCCATCCTCTTCTGTTGGAGAAAGGAAGACTATGGACTCTGACATCCAGGAGGTTACTGAGCAGATCCATAAGCTGCTGCTACAGGTGAGAGCGGGTGACAGGGGGGACCTTACAGACCCTAAAGAAAGACCTCTCAAAATTAGAGCATATACATCCTCTCCTACCTTCACCTATGGCTATTTTTCAATCTCTCTCTTCCTTTTCTCTATCTGTAATCAGCCTGTTCATAACAGTGGGTCCAATGGCTACGGCAATCCAACCAGAAACGATCACCTTATGGGCATGACCTCCTCCAGCGAGAGCCTCGACAAGTGCAACGGGAACAAAGTGGGACTAGAGGAGGAGAAATTGAGCAGCAAAGAAAGACCTGTGAGTAAACCAAGGAATTATTCAAGTACCAGATATATATTCACATGAATCAGAATACATGCCTCCATGTTGAATTTGGTTTCATTACTGTATGTTTATATTTTCTTTTTGAAAAGTCTTCATGAAATAGTCTTTCATGTATTAGAAATAAGACGCAGCTGAATATTAGTAACAGAAGATTTGATTTGTCAAACTAATGTGGCGCTGACTTTTCTCTTTCAATTTCAAAGCGAACGTTTCAGGAAATCTGTAAGGGGGTTCACCTCCAGAAGAACCAGAGGCAGCACACTGCCAAAGCGGAACACAAGAAGAGCAATGGCAGTAAGTCCAGTTGATTTCTACATGTCTATTTTTGTGTGTCGTTTTAAGGAAGTGGAGAGAGTGTGGAGAGAGTGTGATAGTTAAATGTATGTATTTCTCTTCTATTTGACACTGGGAAGATATTTGTGTTCTGGTTGTTAAAAAGTAGATAAGCTGTAAGATAAGAGCTAACTTTATCCAACTCCTCTCTGAACATGTGCTGGTTGTTTAGAGTCACTATGGCAGCTGCTATTGTAGTTTGAGGTTTTATTATTTATCTATTTCAATCAATTGTCCAAGCCTACAACGATTCAAGACAACTTGAAATTTGACCCTTCCTGCACTCGACCCTAACTCTTGGCCTCCCTCCAGTAGAGTCTCTACAGAAGAGCCTGGCTGTTGTTCCACCAAAAGACTTGGCTGCTCCTCTCAACGGGAGGGAGACCGGGTCCCCTTTGATGGAGAGCAGGTCCTCTCTCAAGGAGGAGATGGCCTTCAATGACCAGAGTGTCTACTCTTACCAGCATGTGAGCTGTCTGGACAGTGTTGTCAGGTACTAAGATAAAGACTGAAGCCAGGACACTATTTTAACCATTTCTTGTAAACTTTTTAATTAGGGGTTATCCACCAGAAAACACATTATGACTAAAGTAAAGCTTTAAACCAGTGAAGGCATTTATTTGGTTACATAGATTAGGTTTTCTTCGATTCATCCCATAGAAATTTTCCTCTGCTGGGAAATTTCCAGTCAGTGTTTGTGTTTTAAAACTTAATCGAGATACTTCTGACGCAATTTCTACCAAATGTGTCTTTCTAAAAGCTATTCTGTGTTTTTAATTGGATTAAATAAACTAAAACCTTAATTAAGAAAGCTTCACCAGTTGTGTTGTTGTGTGTATGATGGACAATATTGATCACTGTGTTTTTATTCCTAAAGGTACTTGGATAGCTGTAATGGTCCCATCACCATGAAGAGGAAGTGCCAGTCTTCCTCTCACACCACGTCATCTAACTCAGATGACGACAAACAGAAAGAATCAAACAGCATGCAGGTGTCCTCAGGTATGTTTCAACAATTAGTTTGCTACATCTAAAGGATATCAAAGACTTAATTTCACTTTATCATACAGAGCTGCAGCCTTCTCGGGCCTCTCTGCCCTTTTTACTCTTCTTTAAGACTCTGCAATGCCAGCTCCATGTCAGCATATCTTGTTCTCTGTTCTCTTGGCAGAACCAGCCTTGTTGAAGGATCAGTGTGGCTTCTCCGCTTTAGATGATCAAGACAAAAAGTCCAGCGACGCAGCCGCAGCGGTAGTGGGCACCGCACTACCACTCCCAGTACCTAACAAGCCAGAAAGTGTGGTGTCCATAACCAGCCAGTGTAGCTACAGTAGCACAATAGTGCATGTTGGGGACAAAAAACCTCACCCAGAGTCAGGTACAGTCCTGTGAAAAAGTGTTTGCTCACAAACTGATTTTTTCTGTTGTTCGTATTTCTAACTCAGAGAGATTTCAGATCTGTAGAAAAAAAAAAAGAATTAGGAAGGTTTCCCTTTACACAGATTGTTCAGCGTATCTCTTTATTTACTACAATTATTCAAAAACCACATCACCTATGTAAAAGTTGGTAGCTCTTTTTTTCTTCTAATGGGTGTAACCTGTTATTATGTTGAAAGTGACTACTTTTTTAATCCCTTTGTTCTCTAGTCTTTATTATCTATCTATATAGTATCTATCTATTTTAAAGATCTGAAACTTCTTAGCGTGACAAATATGCAGAAACAGAAGAAGTCAGGGAAGGAGCGAATGGTTTTTTAAAGCACTGTAAATGCAACTTCTTTCATTGTGTCTTTGTATATTTGTGTCTGTGTCTTTGTCTCTGGTAGTGTAGTTGAGTCAATGGATGCTTGACAGCTTGAATCTCAGCAATCTCTTCTCACTAAGTCAAAATGTCCTACTCAGTCGAACAGTGTTTTTCGAGGGACATTGGGTCCCATTAAAAAAAATAATAATAATAATAATAATTAGCAACAATGGTGTTAATGGTTCATTTCAATGTAAATCTTAAATCTGCACAAATGTGCATGAGATTTGTGTCTCTACATCTCAGTTATTTTAAACTTGATTGCGACCATTGCAGTCCATCAAAAAAACAAAGATTATTGTGTTTATCTGCTGCTGTGTTTGTGTCTTCAGTGTGCTGTGGCTCATTGATGCAGTCATTCTGTACACATTAGTCGTAATTTGGCAAGACCGGTAGTAATGTACTGGTCTTAGCATGTTTAGTTTATAGTTCTATAGCAAGAAACCACAGTCATACAGCTTGATTCTCATTGGCTAACATGAAGAGTTGGTAACTAACCACCTTGGAATACATTATTTGTCTCTGTTTCAACATTATTTATTAAACAACACTGGATGATTAGGAATTCAGGCTGCTGCAGTGTTTGGTCAACATTGCTTTTGTCATTGTCATTGTAAATGTTAATAAGCTGTGTAATACAAACCTCGAGCTTTCATTGCTTTACAATATGTTAAAGACATTTCCCTGCTGTCATCCACACAGAGATCATAGAAGACGTCCAGGTTACAGGAGAGGCAGCAGAGCCCAGCCAGAACAATGGGGCTTCTGCTTCTGCTGTTTCACCTCCCAGTCAGGAGAGGGAGTCCTACAGGAAGCTTGGGCTGACCAAGCAGGTCTTGGCAGCTCATACACAGAAGGAGGAGCAGGCCTTTCTGTATCGCTTCAGGGAGCTGCGCAAACATACTGCACTCAAAGTAGACTGCTCGCAGTACCTGGAGCGCCAGAGAGAACAGATCACCAGCAATGGTAACTCAATCAACCCCACTGACAGATCATATCAAAAGCCTAAGAGGGATAAGGAGAACTTATTTTCAAAAATGAGTATTATGGCCTCATTCACAAGAATAAAAAATCAGTAATTTAGGAGAATAAAAGCGTAAGAGAAGAAAGTCTTACATTTTCTAGAATCTTTTGGCACATAAAAATTTTATTTTCTTTAACGTGGCCCTCATACTCTGTTGGATTTAGTTCCACCACTACTTTATTTAGCTTTTATAGCTGTAGTGATTATTATTTGTAGTGATGTTTCTGTATTACCAAATGTCAGTGATAAACAGATAACAAAGACAACTGATACAGTATATTCTTATTTTAAAAAAAACTTAAATTCTCTTTCATCCTCTCAAACCTACAGCTGTACCTGCTGCTAGATCTTGCAAACAGGTTGGAGGCGGAGCAGTGAATACCACGCGGCGAGGCACGCGGAATAAGAAGACCAAGTCAAAGCGAGCGAGGCAGGTGGAGTCTTCAGACAGCGCCGTGTCCCATCACAGGCAACAGCACATTCGGCCTCCTTTTCTAAACCACGGCCTCAACCTCACATCTTGGTCTAGCTCTGACACCTCACAGTCAACTTTCCCCATGGCCTACCCCGCCGTCATGCCAGGCTACCCCCTTCAGGTTTACCCCAGTGCCCCCCACACAGCCGCCACTCAACAAGGATATGGGGTCAACCAGGGTCCCCAGGCCACGCCCTGCTCCTCTGTTATCCATCCTGCTGCCTATAATGCCTCCATGGTCACCCCGATCGTGGCCCTAGTGCTGCCCAACTTTATGTACCCTCCAATGGCTACTGGTCTACCGCCACCTCAGCCTTTGTACCACCCAGAGACCAGCTTCTCTGTCCAAACACCGCCTTTCTGTCAACCTGGCTTTCCAGGCCAGATCCCCTTCGCAAGCCAACCTTCCTTCAGTGTTCTGAACCAGTTCAACTCTCAGAATCAATTTGCTCCTCAGGCAGCCAACCTTGCCCCGTCGTTCTACTACCCTCCTTTCTCAGAAACCCCGAAGGTCCCCATGGAGTGCCAGTCTCGCTCCTCAACGCCACAGTCGGGAAGAGGTGGAGGGCCAGCATCGCCCCCCCTGTTCCAGTCTCGCTGCAGCTCGCCGCTAAACCTGCTGGAGCTGGAGCTGTCTGTGGACAGGCTGGACAGCACAGGGCTGACATCTGGAGGACAAGGGAATAACACAAGTGAAAGGGAGATGGGAGCATGTGACAGCCAGGCCAAAGAGAGGGAGATGAAACAGGTACACAAGAAAAACAAACCTGCTTTTAACTCTTCTTCTGTCCTTTTCCTCCCCATATATCTCTGATATATACCTGTATCTCTCAAAATGTCAATTCCACCCTTGTGGGTTGTCAAACTCCCGTAAGCAGGGATGTTCCACTGAAACATTAATTCAAATGTCTCTAAACCTTTCGGGAATTAATGCCATAGTCACAGTGATTCCTTGATATATTTCCTTCTTAAAATGCAGCCAATATGCTATTAAATGACCATGCTATGTTTAAAGTCTAGTTATTCTAGACTACAGATTGAATGTGGCCCAGGGTATTAATACATGATATCCCTTACACCCTATAGCCATCTGTCAGTCTCCTTGGTCCTCCAGGACCGTCGTATCACGAGGGCACACCCAGTGTCTGTGAGCATTTGTCTTGGGATAAAGTGTGCTCTAGGCTGAGTTCTTGCAGCAAAGAGGTAGGCGAATCATCAGAAAACGTCCACACTTCTCCAAACCCCATTCCCCCCCCCAATTCCATTTGTCAATTATAAGTGTTTTTTTCATGATTTACCAGAATTTTAAAATCTTGCAATGTATGAGACTGAGAAGTTTTAAAAGACATAGTCTGAAAACCAAAAAAATATCCGAGTTCCTTAAGGATGTCCTCAAAGTTAAATTGAGGTCTTATTTTAGTACACCAACTGTACTGAGTGTATGACTGAATACATGCATACACACACTCTTTGATTTTGCATGGCACTCCTCACATTAGCAATGGAAACCATTTTTGGCATCAAAAGAACATGGTGGGTAAATGGTGTTCATGTACATGCTCTTTACTACGAGTTGCCCTACTTACTGTCAGGGTCACTGTTCTTTATACCTCTGCTCGGGCCTGTGGTGTTGCTATTTGATCAATAGACAATTGTCTATGCTCACTGAAGTCTAAAAATACAGATTCAAGTTGCAGCACAGCCAATGTTAACTGCTCTTGCCTTCTCTATGAGATGCAGGAGATGAAGAGGGAACCAATAGTCTGTTTGCAAGAGCTGGTAGGCCACGCTCCTCTTCAGTGTAAAAGCTTTAATGCTTCTCTTTGTTTGCAGGAAAGTTCGCGGGGCGATGGCAACAACAGCGACGTCAACTCTTCATCCAGTGACATGTTAGACATTATTCTCCATGAGGACTCCAGCTCAGGCACTGGCTCAGCCACCTCAGGGTCCAATGGTTGTGGAACTTCCGCCAGCGGGACATCCAACAGTGGGACATCTAAGAGCGGGACATCAGCCAGCGGAGCCTCTGCAAGTACGACCTCTGGCAGTGGAACAGGTCAGTTTCAACAGCTTATGGATTTGATGGCATATATTAACCTTCCTCAGGGGGAAATAAGTTGCAATCACTTGTTACAAAAAAGTTCATGGAAAGCCCATAAACTCAAAATTTACAAAATCAGCTTCTTCTAATTTTATTAATCAATTCCTTCTGGTAAGTTAACGGATTGAAAAGAAGTACAGGAATGTGTCGAGAAATCTACTAAAACGACTACATTTTTCAGAATGAATCTGATGATTTTTGTTCAATAATGTTAATACGAAATCTTTATTTCATACATTTTTTTGTGTGCTCTTCGGCTGTTTTTAGGAAGCAACAGTAGTAATTACTTTGGCAGCGTGGACTCGTCCCAGAACAGCCAGAAGGTCAACGGTCACTCGAGCAGCAACGATGGACGGCCGATGGACATGGGAGAAAACTACATCGAGTATGCACTGCAGGACCCGCCGTGGCTGCTCGAGGCCAACACAGATAACAATGTCATGATGACCTATCAGCTGCCATCACGGTGAGCAAGAGGACAACAGCTCAGCCCATAAGGAATAGGATAGTGGCCCTGTAGATGATAATGTTTGTTAGTTTATCAGCCATCTGTTTGTTATGGAAGGCAAAGGGTGAGCATGCATACAGGCAGTGTCATCTTCTCCTTATTAGTAAGCAGGTTTCCTGCTTCTCGACAGTAGCAAATGCTTGTGCAGCAATGTCATCATATCACATACAGGTTTTCAGGTCTTCAAGTACCAATTTTCAAAATAGCAGCAATCCTTTTTTAATGAACAAGTCTGAACTCTGCCTAAAAGCTACCATAAGCTCTTTCACTGTGATAATGTCCTGTGTGAACAGCCTGCTGTACATCATGTTTTAAACTGTATAACCTTGCTGTTGAATCATCTGGTGTTTTATGCCTTTTTGTTTGTCTCTAAAGAGAAGAGCAGTTTGCATGTCTCACACTCAGTGCAGTAGCCCTCTCTGACCACTAGATGGCACTTGTACACTAACACAGAGTAAACAGTTGTTTATTAGCGCTTGGTTTCTTTTTATCAAAGGTTTCCATTGAAGCCTCAGAATAATCACAAAGATGATAGCTGTGTAATTTGAACAGACATTGATCCTCCAATTTTGAGTACATATTATCCAGCCCAATTATTACTTAACCAGACCTTTTAGAAAGGTTTTTTTTAGATAAGACTTTTGGTCATTGTATTGAATGTGTTTGTGATTTTGCTGTTTTTGCAGTGACATCGAAAAGGTGCTCAGGGAGGACAGAGAGAAGCTGAAGCTGCTGCAGAAGAGTCAGCCACACTTTTCAGAGGAGCAGAAGAAGGAGCTGATGAAGGTCCACCCCTGGATTAAGAAGGGATGTCTGCCCAAGGCAATAGATGTTAAGGTAGATTCAAATGTTTTTAAGCAGCTGAGAAAAAATACAACATTGTATTTATGTCACTTTTGTTTGTGTATGGTGCTAAATTTTGTTTTATTTGCACTCTTGAATTAAAAGTTTGCTTTGATACTCATGGTTCTGCTAGCATGAGTCCATAAGCTTGGCTATTTTTTTCAAAAAGTTGATAGGTTATATCAAAAAGTATTTTTTTGTCTTTCTTAATTAAAGTGTCAATTTCACATACATGTTCTTGTCTTCTCCTTTAAATCTCTGCTGTCCAGGTGTGCACCTGCTCTGAAGGAACCTCAGAGGCAGCAGCAGCAGCAGTGGATGGTCGACCAGACCTGGGCATCGTTGATAAAGACTCGGGGGATCTTGGCTGCCAGCAGAGGCCCAGAAACCAACTTTCAAAAACTGTTGTCATTTCCTGCCACGACACATCTCCTAGTTCTCAGAAAACGAACTGCTCATGACTTTCAGAGTGACTTTTGTTACCCATCAGCCTTTTATTCTGCAAAACTCAGTACGTTTACATGATGCTTACACAATTTATTGTGCTAGTCCAACTAAACCTGGACTTAAAAATCCATGTTGGTCGGACTGAAATTGTACAAAAATCAAGAGACAACACATCTAGAAGATACTGCGGTTGGGAATCTATTTACTCTTGCTTGTTTATCTCTCAATTGGCCAGAAATTGGCCTGGGCATTCTACGCATGCTCCCCTTTTCCAAGCCATGTTATTGACCAAGAAGTTAAAAAGTATAAGTGCATTGAAGAGGCCGGTAAGAAAACAAGACAGAGGTATGAACATGGCTAGTGCTTGAGCGAGAACCACAGATTTTTGGACAGATGAGGAGACACGGTTTATATTGGTCAGCTGACAGAATGAAACATATTGACATACATGGATGGAAGGAAAACAGTTTGATGCTTGTCAACTTGTTTGTTGAATGATTTGTACGTGACATAATAGGTCAACCAGAAGAATGTCCAGTACTTACTAGCTGAAAGGAGCTATATCACCACCTACTGTAGCATAATGTACGTAAATAAATCGATACTCCCCTGGTGCTTGTATACTGGGACATGAACAGTAGTCCAATTATATGGCCTGATTGAGCTATAACTGTAGCTCGACTTAACTGTGCATGTAAACGTACTGACTGTGAAGAGGGACCTAGTTTAAATGAAGCATCAGGCCCTTTACTCTTCACACACATTATTTCAATTCTGTTGTTGTCCTGCTGGTTTTTATTTATGAGTTGTGCCTATTTACTTGTCAGGAAACTGCTCCATATTATCAAGACTGTTAGAATGTGAATATTCAAATGACACTTTATTGTTTTTTTTTAACACAATTTGAAATTGTTCACCCGACAGACGTTTTTGATGTTCACATAAAATGCTAGCATTTATTCATTCCTGTGTACTACTTCACAGTTTGCCACACTTGGGTTAAGGGCTTTATGCACTGATGAAGAGAAGTGGAACCCAATAAGGGAAACACAATATATGCTCATCCACCGGGCAGCGGGTCAAAGATGAACCAACGCAACGCTGCCAGGAAGTGGTTCTGTGGTGTTCTTGCTGTTGCAGATAATGACTGAATGTCAATTCTTCCTGGACACTGTGCTACATCAGCATGCAGTGACAACAGGTGTAGACATGAATAACCATCCAGCACCAAATGAAGAGCACATTGTTGGCTGCACTGGAAAGTGAATGACACTCCTGTCTGTCTGCTCTGTTTGCTCTACTCCTCTCACTTTCTGGTGCTGCATACAGTCACTGCTTTTTGTGAATGTCTCTGATCATATATACAGTATATATATTTTTATATGCAATATTTTTATTCTGTAAAGATAAATTTGTGATATTAAGTTATGACAGAATAGTTGGCTTAAACAGGAAGCAGGACCAAGACTCATAATATGTCATGTATATAATATTTAAAAAAATATATATATATAAGATGAAGATTCCCACCATGGACTGTTAAAAAACTGGAGTTTGTGGTAAAGTCAGGGGAATATGGATGTTTTCCGCAGTTTGAAGGTGTGCCACATCACACTTGAAAATGCCTGATGTTGGTCCTCATAAATATAGAAAAGAGGATGTTGTGTAAGTGTCTGAAGCCCATTGCTGTTCAGGACAAACAGTGTGGTCACTTCAGAAGTCAGAGTTTAGGGTTATTGCACGGGTATAAAGCAGCTCACACACATGTGAGCACACTGTGTGGACTGCTTTGAAGCGTCTGCCTTAATGTGAGATTAAACATTGCTTTTCAACTTTTTGTCATTTCCTGATGTCATTGAGTGTGTCAGTTATTTAAACCGCGATGTACATAATGCACATTTAAATTTTTCCTATTTTAATTATTATTTTTTTTAAGTTTATTTTGTTTATTTTCATGTTTGTTAAATGTTCTCTTAATAAAATGTTCCCTAATCTGCGATGAGGCGAAGTGTCATATAATGTTTATTCTTTTTATAAAGTCCTTTAATGAATGACGAGGGCAATTGATTGCTCAGCTGAAAAGCAGCACGTTAAACTACATTTTTCAAATACTACACTCATTGAGGAGAGCAGCTGTTAATGGGCCGATGACCAACTAATGAGTAATAGACTGCAAAGTATTGCCTGATGTGGCAGATCGATGCTTCAGAAACGGCTAAGATGAGGGGGAGGGGGTTGATTCATTAGACTATTTTGGTAGGAAAAATAGAATGAGAGAACATTGACTTTTACATTTTCTTATGTAGATAGGCCTACATATTGATTATTCTTTTTCGTTGTGTACTTACTGGGGACTGAGGGGACGAAATTGAGTGTGAGTGACTTATCTCGTTTTACTGTTTGTACATGCCTTCTAGAGAAGATAAGCGAAGAATAAAATAAATCTTGAATAACAGCTTTCAAAAAGCATTATTTAAAAAAACAAAAAAATGTGGGGGGAATGTTTCCCCCTTCGTCCTGACTTCATGACATTCGCCCTCCATTCACGAACGGATGTCTGGCCAACTTCAGAAACAATGCCTTCCTCTCTGCAGACAGACCGCTGCTAAGCATGCTGATCAAAGCGACCCCGACCCCTCCCTCTCCCCCCAACACTCACCTTCAGGTTTGAAGTTTGAAGAAGAAGACGAGGTGCGAAAATCAACAGTGCCCTCCTGTAGTCATTTACACCTCTGGGGACCTGCAAATCCGGTCTAGTCTCCACACAGACACAAACAAGTCTGACTGCAGTATCAGGGTCTTTCTTGCTTTCTTGGGAGTTAAGCAGTTAGAATTTATAACAGTTGATACTTTAACCATTTTATTAATCGAAAGTAGAACTGACCATAATCCAGAATACCCCAATAGGAATACATTATTTTACCATTATCTCGAATTTAAATGTATTAATAACGATCATAATCAGCTTTAACATCAGTTATTTTTACACATCCAAATGGGTTTTGCTCTTTGTGTTACTGCTCTTATTCTACACATACAGAATTCAAGATTCCTTAATTGTCATTGACCAGACAAGTACACAGACAGACATGTCTGTTATTGATAATCTTCTTCTTTTTTAAACATTGCTAAAACATTTTGATTCATCTAGGGGTATTTTTAAGTATTTTCTTTTGGGGTAATATATATGTATGGGGGGGGGGGCGTCGGTTTTGTGTTTAACTTTAACAAATGTTTCATGTCATGTACGTCTTTGTAACCTGCTACTGGATGCTTTGAATTTCCCTCGGGATCAATAAAGTATCTATCCATCTATCTATCTATCTATATCTACAAAGGGACGCTGTAACACTAACTTTATACAGCTGTAGTCTAATGTTATGGATGAAATAGTAGCACTTTTCTTTTCCCAATGATATTGTCTGCATGAAACACAAGATAAAGCTCATGTATCTGAGGATTGAACTTGATGAGACTAAAACCCATGAGTCCTTCTTCCCTTCTTACTAAGATGAGTCTACGAGTCTAAGTCTTCTGCTGGCTTTGTTAATCTTTTTCTTGTCATTTTAGCAAGGATCTCTTTCAGTATGGGTATACAGTGTAAGAATTGACACGTTGGAGTGGACATCACAAAGACACCAGAGGAGGCATCTGACTATAGACATGGATTAAGACCGCTTCCTTTTCTTATTCATGAGTGGTTTCTAACAGCTGACGGTGCAGAGGGAGATCAGTGTCTGGGTCTCCCACCAGGACCACAGAGGTCATGTCTGAGGTGCAGACACAACTGCTACTGTGAATTAACATGGGAATCCATACTTTTAAGAAATTCTCTAAAAGAGCCATTCAGCATCTTCACATTAAAACACAACATTACTTTACAGTATCATTTATTGGTAATAGCATTGCTCGCCATTCTGGCACTGTTTTCAGATTATCTACCTAAATTTGACAGATTAAAAGGGAACTATAAATACCATTAAGAAGGATTTTGACTTGATCTAATTGCTAGTTTATGTATGATGGTACACATCATATAGCCTACACAATTCTGTGCTAACATATTTCAGCAAAAGATAAGAGCTTTAAAGCCTTGCTTGCAAGCCCTGTTTCAGTAGCATAGCACAAAAATAGAGCCTACCCAACAATACACCTACAAACTGATGGGCTGATAACAAAGAGTGCAGAACAATGCTGGTTAACAGAAGCGTTCTATGACTGAGCAAGTTCCCATGTTATTTTTAAATGTACCATCAAAAGAGCTGAAGTCAGGAAGAGTTATAAAACCCATTTGTCAAGCCCTCAACTAGGCCTATATAAGGACTGAGTGGATTACTCATTTCACACCTCACAAATGCCTACGACGTGCTAAGGGATCTTGGAGAGGGAGAGTGAGTGCACACAAATGGTCTACATTTGCAGATTAATAGCTAATATCTTGCAAACAGCAGTGGGTGGGTGGATGGTGGGATCCTTGTGTGTGAAATGTGGCATCCTAGTTGCACAAACACTTAAAAACTAGTCACTTGTTGAGAAGATATTTATTGAAATTTATCAGGTGTGTTAGCCTTCAAACAGTCACTAATAAATACAAAGTTAAAAACTTCCTACATTTAAAATAATTTACAAACAACTAACAGTGAACTTCTAACAAGATAGCAATCTTCTATACAGCACAGTCAACAAGGAAATATTTACATATGCATTCACCCCCCACTGAAGGCAGACCCTTACATGACCAATGCACTTCCAAATTAACCCCACGTATCTAATAAGATAGGATTATTTATTAATTACACTTAAAAGATAACTGTAGTTTCCCAATAATTAAACAAAGAGCTTCTCATGTGGCTTGCACAAAACCTCAAATGTCATCCCAGCAGTATTTCTCTCCTGTGTGACCTGACCTATACCCAACAACATGCTACAACAAAGCACTGAATCCTCTTCTGTAGTTTAAAACATGGTTTAAAACAAATGATCTACCATGGCCTCCACATAGACTTGGAGTAAATGAGTGGAGGCAGGCTCAACACATCCTGGTTGTCGGCCTCTTCTGAAGAAGAAACATGACTTTGCTCTGAGTCCGTCTCATCCAGGTCTGAGCAGAGGTCATCACTGGAGGTGGTGGAGGGAGCTGGGGACACCAGAGCCGTGTACATGCTCTCAGACACGGCCCAAGTGCCGTTACTACCGGGGCACTCCGCCACCGTATCCGGTAGCATCACCCGGAGGCGGTCTTCGTCGTTCAGTGGCATGCTCTCCAGGAGGTGGTTCAACAGCTCCGCGGCAATTGTCGTGTCTATTCCGGGACAACTGGACACAAACGTGTGCACGTCATGCATACACTGGATGTAGCCAGCTGCAAACCGTTCACATGCCTCCCGGTTCACAGCGTCTACTTCTGTGGAAATAAATAATTAAAAAAACAAATTAGAAGTTACCTTAAAAAATGAACCAACAAATTGAAAGGGACAGGTGAACAAGTCAGAATCTCTGATTGGCTGAGACGTAGACGAACACGCGCACCTGTGGCCTCAGTAAAAGTTGATTTGAATATTAATAACTTCAATTGTAATTAAAAATACATACAAAAAAAAAAATACTTGTAAATAAATACAAGTTAATGCAAGTTGATTGCAATTGGTTTGAATTTGCCAGTTTTTATTTTATTTTTATTTTTTAAAAGAAGCAAATGAGTTATATTACTTCAGCCAAATGGCGTAGCCTAAAACTCTGGTGAGAATCTAATTTTTTTTTTTTACCTTGAGCCCGATTCTGCAAGATGTTCTCCACTCGTTTGACTGTCATCTCCAGCACTTCGGCATTCTCCATCTTTGATTGTAACTGCAGCGAGTGACAAGCAAAGCGTAAGAAAAAAAAGCTTCTGCAACACAATTGTTATCTTAAACAAAACATCTCCCAAGTTAAAACAAAAAAAACGAGGACAGCCACTAGCCTTCATAACGCGAGGGGCCTAGTAGTACAGAGATTTGAACTCACGTCTGCTTCAGCGATGAGAACTCTGAGTTCTTGTAAACTTTCATTGATGCGAGCTCTCCTTTTCTTCTCGACCAGGGGTTTCCTCATCTGCCAAGTCAGTACAGACAATGTTGAGTTACTTTCTATTTAGACAAGTTCAAACAGAAACACTCGTCAAAGTGCTCACATTGTTGCCTTTACCTTTCTGTCAGATTTGACTCCACTGCAGTTTTCACCTCTGTCCATTCCGTTTGTGGTGTTACGGATGGGGGCCATGTTGTTGAAGTTTAACCCAGGCGCTGCCACAAACCCACTGGAGAGTCGTCCAAAGAGCCGTTACAGCTTATCAATGGGACAGATGGCCGGGCGATCACAGCGGTCAACAAAGCTTGCAAGAGGGGCCGGGCTCCTGAATGCAGCTCCGAGGGGGCATGTGCTAGGTAGATATATGACGGTTAATTTACATGTGAATGAATGAACACCAACGTGGGCGCGCAACGCTCGCACCCGCCAATCATCAGTGTGGTCATGATTGTCGTCTCAAACTTCAGTCCTAACCATAGACAAATAGTAAAGGTCCTGCAAAAACACTGTTGAGAGAAAATCCCTCCCGAGATTAATTTTCACATCTACCTGCTGAAAATGTAATTAAAAAAAAAAAAATATATATATGCAAAGCCTAGGCCTAAATGCTTGACATCAAACACTAAAAACTGCAGTGAATACAGTGCTTTACACTGGCCTATGTTATAGCTGTATATCTGACTCTTCATCAGTTTAATCCTGTTTTATTGAAGGCTTCAGTCTTTTGTTTGCTGAATCTGAAGCACTCTCATTTAATGTGCGTCAACTCTTCAGGCCATATACACCTCCAATTCTCACATGTGTTCATTAAGCAGGGCCTATTTAATACTTGAATGTGAGCCATCGGTTAATGGCTGGGCTAGTGGATCACTCCCTCTAAAATAACCCAAATGTGAATTGGACTGAGCTATCTTTTGAGTACAAGTGCCCAGCCAACATGTGTAGAAAGTGTAAAAAGCCTTTGGCATCTTCAACAGTATCACAGAGGTGGACCAGGGAGCCTGAGAGTATCCACTGTTTTCAAACAGTACAAATAAATCAGTTTATTTAGATGGCTTCACAACATTTTCCCTCAGCCGTTTCTTGTATAATTAGAGGGTTGAGCCATACATACATTTCCCTTGTTGTGTTATCAAATTCTATTTTATACATGGTCCATTTATAGCACATCATATGGCTCATGTTTGTCTTGAGTCATACATGTGCACACAATCATGACAGCTCCTATATGGTAAGGGCTGTGTGTAGCGTCTGTATGAATTTGCATGTGTTCTGTGATTTGCTTATAGGCTAGAGATATCTTTCAGCAAATCTCTTTTGCTTTGCTGTGATCCACTGTAAGGCTACTTTATGTTATGTGAAACATGAAGCTGGCTTTCATCAACAGTGACAATTGAAAATGAGTTTAGAGACTTCTTAAATGTAGGCTAGATAACATTGAGTCAAATAATCATCAACATTTTAATTTCCACAGCAATGATGGCTACATCATCTTGTAACTACATTTAATGTCCAACTCTAGCAATTTAAGAGTTGCTCTGATCACCACTTACAATACATTATTATTGTTTGTTACATGCTATTATACTACCATCTCAATTACAGATGCTTAACCCAAGAAAAAAATCCACAGGCATGACACAGTATACTGCTATAGTAATGATCAGTAGCCTACTGCAGGTATTTCAACCCCTTGCAACCCATAGATGCAGGGTTATGTGTTATAAGAAATATAAAATTGCCATGGTTACAATCATTATGAACTAAACTTACCTCTGTGCTTACTTTATTACAGTGACAATGCTTACTGAGTTGGGAACATCCCTACATTTCCGGATGATAGTGTTAAGAACATGTTCGCAAAGAGGACATGCAGCTTTAAATAAAATACGGAAAGCATTACCTTATCGGGCACTCTCCTTCAGAATAAGGCTATGAGCGAATTCAATATCAAGAAAACTGGGGTTAAACTGTGTTTTGTTTCACCATCAACAGATAAGACATTAATATGTAGTTTTCCGTTTACCAATTTGTTACAAAATGTATATTTCTTGTGAAAAATAGAAATAGTAGCTGGACTCGGACTCTTATTTTGACAAAGACGAGGCTGCTTTCCCCTCAGACCCACACAGCGCTCGTTCGTCAGAGAAGACGCTCATCTGATGTCACCAAGCACCGGGGGCGACACAGGGCTTCCTCTATATATTCTTCCCGGTTCGATGAATGAGAGCAGCGCACCGAACACCAGAAACGCGACTGAGCAAACAAACACCGAACAGAAAAAAACATGGTGAAGATCACTTTCCAGCCAGTTTCAGCGCAGAAGCCTGAAAAAGACAACGATGAAGACAAGATCATTATACCTCAGGCTCAAGTGAGTTTGCACACTTTGATTTTTCTTTTGTTATGTGTTGTGTCATTTGTGTTTTGTCTCAATGTTGCGTTTGTAGCCTGCACACTTTTTGCATAGGTTATAGCTATGTATATTTAGGCTATCGATTCATTATGGGCAGCTATAGTTGATTTTTTTTTTATGCATCAACATATAAATGTGATTGTTTTAGTTTATTTTCTATTAACACAATGATCTTATTTAATCGGGCAGCATATACTCACTATAATATATTATGTTCGAATGCAGCTAATTATTACTGGTGTTTTTGCTGCATTGAATTTATTTTGAATTTATTTATAATATTGTACAATATTGTTATTATAGCCTAACAATGGACTAGACCCATCATTGCAGGCCATCCCAGCCCGGGGATGTTGACATTACGTCACATTGTAAGGCCACTGCAGATGGCTCTCTGCCTTCATTAATATAACAATGTTAATTTAAATGCATCATGAATTAAGATACGAACATTCATAACAAGACGTCAAAAAAACCCGTTTAACTTAGCATCGGGGGCAGACTTGCAAATAGCCTTTCCCCCGGCGACTTTAGAAAACAACAGAGCTGCCAGATGCAGTCACTGCACCAGTGACGTCATGAGGTGTTATGCCACGTGAATCCCGCAGGTAGCGCCTCACAGGCATGAGCCAGTAGCTGAGAGTTCAAACCCAGGATTAGTGTACATGCAAAGAAAGGCCATGGTCTAAAGGATGGGATTTTTTTTGTTGAATTATTGACTAAAAATGAGCAATTAGAGGCATCTAAAGAAGCTTTCAGAGATTTGAATTAATGTGAAGGAGCAGGGTGAAAAAAAGGAAATAAAGAAAAGGAACAGAGACATTATTGTAGAACAATGTAAACCTTATCTACAACATAGAAGAAGTGTTATGATATTTGATTTTCATTACTTTTGACGGAATGACATTGTACTTATAATAGATCAGTGTGGTAGTTTATTGTGCAAATGAATGATCATTATACATCTCAATGGCTTTTGGGCTCAAACCTAAATAAATTGTTTAGACACTGTGGCTTGTCAGATGAATCAGCTCTTCTAAACCTTCTATTCTCGACTACTTCCCATCCAGGGGTTAATAAAACAGAATAATTGGCACATAATGGATGTAAGCCTCTGTAATCCCCTTCTTTGGTTCCATAACATACTGTACACAATGACTCCTTTTTAATGACGTAGCCATCACGCCTGCAGACACATTTGTTCCACGTTACTGTTACGTCAAGAGACATAATCTCAAAATGTGTTTGGATTAGAGATTGGATGCGACGGTTGGCTAGGTGTCAGAGTTGATGTGTGTAGATCTATAAATATTCCCGTCTCTGCTGAGGGACTCCTGCTCCACGTAATTGTTCTCGTTTTGACTCCCACTGAGGGTGCTAACTAACTGCAAATATGGAGCATGAAAGTAGGTCTCTATGAATAGCCCCAGACGGCCACGTGCCAGCATCTTCGTCAGAGCCTGGCACAATCTGTTCTCCCTACTTCCGCTCACCATAGGAAGAGTGTAGTGAGAGGCAGCAGATTGACTGAGAGACTGTGGGTGGGCATCTGGCATGTCTTATGCCTGTACGTCCTATGACTACCACATCTCATCAACTGACTAACGACTTGGCAACCGGTCCTGTCAGAATTAACTTGGTTACGATTTGGACCTCTGACCTTTGTGGTTTAAGAGGACATCATGTCTACTGAAAATTCAACATTGAACTAAATGTTGGAAAATTAAAGATACTAAAAAGTCTTGGAACTAATATTTATTTCTGCTTACACTTAAAGATATACTTTTCTTGGCTTCTGCATTACATTAATTTGTACCATTTAGTAAAATACCCCATATTATTGAGCCAAAAAAAAAAAAGTTTCAGACCACAATCACCTAGCGTTTTCCCTTCTTTGTTTCCAGACTTCCCTAAACCAAACTACTTTTCTCTTTACAGGAGCAGCTGGTTCTTCCTGGCAGGTCCAAGAAGCCTTTTCCAACGGGCCTCTGCTGCCTCACCTTTGGCCTGGTGCTCTTCATGTCAGGACTGGTGCTAGCCTCTATCTATGTCTATCGCTACTACTTTATACCTCAGGTCAGTTCACTTTACCTATTTTACTGTGAGCCCAGTGGCACAGAACGCTATTGAACAAGAATATGAAATTGTCACCTGCTACAGTAAACATCACATGCTTACTCAGCTCTGTTGCGACTCATTAGCAGATCCCAGAAGACAGCTTGTTCCACTGCCGGGTCGTCTACGAGGACTCTGTGTTTGCTCCTCTGAGGGGTAGGCTGGAACTGGAGGAGAATGTGGGCATCTACCTTGACGATAACTACGAGCAGATCAGTGTACCTGTGCCACACTTTGGAGGGAGTGACCCTGCTGATATCATCCATGACTTTCAGAGGGTAGGTTAAGTTTTGCTTGTGTTCACTCGTTTCCTTTAGTTGATAGTTTTTTTATTTTATTTAAGCCTTTCGAATTGGCCCCTGATTTTAACTTGCTGTTATTTGTTTCAGGGCCTCACAGCTTATTACGACATCGCTTTGGACAAGTGCTACATCACTGAGCTGAACACCACCCTGGTGATGCCTCCCCGTAACCTGTGGGAGCTGCTCATCAATGTCAAGGTGAGACGCTGATTCCATCTGCTGCTGTGAGAGAATTGTTAGTTATGAATAGCTGTCTTAAAGAGTGAAGGGTTCTGTGTTCCTCCCACAGCCTGAGTGATTCATGTGTGTCTCTTTGCCACAGAGAGGGACGTACCTTCCTCAGACTTACATCATCCAGGAGGAGATGGTGGTGACAGGGAGGGTGAGGAACATGAGGCAGCTGGGCCCCTTCATCCACCGGCTCTGTTATGGCAAAGAAACCTACCGCCTCAGACGTCGGAACCAGCACAGACGTAAGTGCACAAATCCACTTCCTTTACCAATCTTATCTATCCAATTAGCTAAATAACGAGCCATGAGTGATGGTTCACTTCCGGTAATGTATCACCCTCTTTCACACCAACCCTTGTGAGATGTTGAGTCATGTGAAACGTCCTGGTCTCTTTGATCTCTTTCTGAAATTAAGAAGGATGGGGGTCCTCCCTCGAGTGACAGTAAATCAGGTGTTCAGTTTTGGTGTGTAGGTGCAGGCAGAGTGTGTGTGATCAGGCAGAAAACAAAAACAACTAGAACCAAATAGGGGCTTCCTAGAGAAAATCTTAGACAGTGTATCCGTAGCGTGAAATCCTCCTCATACAGCCAATACCGTAACAGTGTGTTTGTATGTGGGTGAGCCAGGGAACTTCCTGCTGTGTGAGTCACTCATAGTGGACACATCCACACACTACGGAGGAGGTAGTGATGCACACGAGTGACATCTCTGTGTTTTCTGCCTGTGATTGGAGTGGAAGCTTGAGAAATGATGCAACAATGAGTACATATATGGAAATGATATACACTGGTAGTCATGGTAGCAGCAGACGTCTTAACACTGCAGATCTCCTTTGTAAGGATGGAACAGATTTTCTTAACATGTCATCTTCTTTCCTTCCAGGTATCGATAGGCGTGAGACCAAGAGGTGTCACAGCATCCGTCACTTTGAGAACACGTTTGTGGTTGAGACTGTCATCTGTGACAGGGTCTAAATCTGAGGTGGAAAGCACAGTCATCCAAGGCCGAAGCCAACTCAAAACCATACCTCTTCTTTAGGCTTTTAAACGCACTTTAAGAGCACGTTTTGTCCAACAGTTTTTACTTTCTGTCTTTTTTTTTCTGTTTTTTTTTTTTTTGTCTCTAGTTGGAAATGCTCTTTAATTGTTCATGCACAATGCTAATGTCTTTTTTTATTTAGATTGTCTGTATATTTGGATGATGTTATCAGTGTTTGAATATCTCTGTAGCTTGTCAAGTGTGTGCATAGGATGTCAATGTTTCAGTGCGTCTATTTGGGACATTTTCATCACAAGTCTTGATTTGGTTTAATTTGAGAGTTTTATTCAAACTTGTCCTATTTATATTAACTAACAGTGCATTCTGACTGAAGCTGCTTGCACTGTGCACTCGTGTTACTTTTTGTTTCTTTGTTGTTATTTTATTTTGTTTGAATGTCAGAAAATGGCGAAACATACCTCATGTACTTTAGAAGTTTCTTTGCCTGTTGATATCATTGATGAATTGTGTACATAACCTTGATTGTTCCTAAGCAATATCTACTGTAAATTAATTTTGAACATACGGCTACATGCATAGATTTTTAACTGAAATCGACTTGTTTTGTTAAAGTTCATTTCTTAATGGTTTGTCTCTTTTCATTTCTCTACTCCTTGGATATAACGGCTTTAGACTGTAATTAGTAGCAGTGCTTTAGAGAGACAGAAGGAACCAAAGTCTGTGGTCAGGAATGCCGTGTGAACAGTGAAGGATACGAGAGATTTAGGAAGAATGCTTTTACTGTAGATGAAATCAAAGGCTGAACTCATTTTGTCTTGCTCCTATTTACTTGGAACTGTCTTTAGCTCTTGCAAGTTCTCAGTCCTTTCTATCTCAGCATTATATCCTCTCTATCAATGTTGATTCTTCACATCTTAAAAAAAGATCTGGGGTGTCGTTCTTATGAACAACTGGGAGCAAATAAGTCTCTTCTGAGAGAGACCTGTAGTATGTTCTCATATTTCATTGTTCAGTCGATTTTTCTTGTAATATCTTACTGCTTTAAAAATAAATGAGAAAACTAAATTTGTCTTTCGAGTGTTTATCAGCATCCGTTTCAGACAAGCATACACATGATAATTGTGGAAATTATGGGTTGGAATAATTGAAGCCTGTGCTAACAATTATCCAACAAAAGAACATATAAAGAGGCAGCGAGTGTTTATGAAAGAGAAACAAAGACTTTGTATTTCCTTTGAGAACTTCCTCGCAATACGAACAGGCTTAATGTAGGTGGGCCAAACACATAGCCCTGATCAGTCCTGCATCTTTTGAACGTAATAACCATATTTAATGAGTTGCCTTCAATCTGTTTGTTTCTTCACATCCACCATCATAGTGACTCATACCGCAAGATGAATGTCTTGTGGTTAATTATCTTTTCTCTTAAAATGGAACAAGAAGATTTGGGTTTTGATGCCATGCAAACAATTGAGAAGTTGTACGTTTCAGAACAAACAAAAACTACAGGAGTCAAGAAATTCACCCATTCTCATATATCTCTTGCAAGGACTTTGCTTTAATAAATATTAATTTCATAGTCTATATCTTATGTTATTGTTACTTTAAAGACTAGTTGCAAAGACGAAGAGAAAAAGACCAGACAAAAAAAAATGTCACTATCAGTTCATGAAGTCCACAGCTTAACAAAAACAAATTTCACATAAGGAAAAATGATGGCAACAGAAAATAAAATAATGCTTAAATAATAACACTCAGCAAAAATGAAGGCTAGTGTAAAATGAAAGCTTCTTGTGGAAGTAATGCATGTAAACAATCAAAACATGACACTTCTCTGTTAAGTTTCAGAACAGAACCAACCTTTGCACATCCATTTCATAAGACAGGTGCGTAGGAGGGAAATGCTTCCGTCAAAAAATGAAACTCCTGCACACTGTCTAACTAAGCAAACAAACATTTACTGGCAATGTTGCGGCGATGAAGGTCTAGTACGGAAACGTTGGCAATAAATGTCTGTTATGTTTCAAAAAAGAGCTTAACACTTAATAATCTATAACATGGAAACAACATTCATAACAATAAGTCCTCAAAACGATTGTTTTGTCACTCTAAGGTAACATTAGCAAAATAAGACAGAGCAGCTTCATGTGCTCAGGCATAGCTTTATAGTATGTTTAGCTTTGACAGCATTTACACAGCACGCCGACGTCCTCCTGTTAACAAACTCCTGTGATCTGTGAGCAGATTTAAAGTCTATGTCCTCTTTAAATCAGGAAATCAGTGACACTGACAAGAAACCTTTTAAAATTGAAGGAATAAATGATGTAGACCTTCCGGATGTTCTTAACGACTTCTTCTGCCGTTTTGATACACAGGATTTTGCTGCAAATAAGACCCTCCTCAAAGAATCTCTCTTTTCGGAAGGCAATATTGTCATATCTGAAAAATGTGTAAGAGTTCATCTCCAAAACATTAACATGAGGAAGGCCCCCGGTCCAGATCAAGTTTGTGGACGCACATTACGTTATTGTGCTGACCAGCTTAGCAGTGTTCTCCACCACATCTTCCAGTTGTCATTGGACTGCCACTTTATTCCTGCCATCTGGAAATCTTCCACAGTGGTGCCTATTCCAAAGACCCCTAGTCCGAGGCAACTAAATCATTTTAGAACGGCTACCTCATTAATTATGAAGATCTTTGAAAAAATGGTAAAGAACCTTGTTCTCTCAACAGTGGAGGGTAACCTTGATCCACTTCAGTTTGCCTACCAGGCAGGGACAGGTGTGGAGGATGCAAAACCTTTTATCTTGAATAGCTGATAGAATAGAATTGCTGATTTTTCTTCAGTTTTTAATACCATGCAGCCTCACCTTTTAATAGAAAGAATGATCTGTGATTTTAAACTGCCTCATCAGCTTGTGCTGTGGATGATGGACTTTCTGACTGACAGAACTCAGAGGGTGTCTGTAAATGGCCATTTATCAGACTCCTTAACCATTTCCACTGGCTCACCACAAGGGTGTGTCCTTTCCCCCCTCCTCTTCATTATGTATACTGATGCTTGCAGGAGCTCTCAGGAGGGCAGCTACCTGGTCAAATTGTCTGATGACACAGCCTTGTTGTCTCTCCTCCAGGGTCCAGTGTCGGACCATGGGACAGCTCTCCCTGATTTTATTTCGTGGTGTGACAACAACTTTTTGGAATTGAATTTTTTTTACTTCCTAAAAATGTATTTTCTTCATTAAGATATAAGAAGTTATTTTTTTGATAATAATTGATAATATTCCTGTGTTGCAAACTCACTTGTGATTCTTAACGAGACTTACATATCCAGATTTCTACAAATATTGAACTAAATGCTTTAATTGATCAAATGTTCAAACTGACTTAATTTGCTTATATTGAACTATTCATGTTTCAAGTTGAGCGTTCTATATAAATATGAATGTTATTATATCAGGATACGTATACATATATGACGTACTTCTTAGGTTTTGTAGATGTTTCTCAATTCAGCTGTTGTATCTTTCCAGTTTAATTCATCCATAAGGTGTCTGCCCTGATCTTAAATGTTGTTGTCTTTTTACTAATGCCTGCTACATGTCTTTGGCTTCTAAAAGCACACACAGTCGACAACAAAGCTCTGCAATGAGATGGGTGTGAGCCTGTATCAGTTCAACATCTGTGTGTTGTGTTGAATGGGCTTTGAACAATCTCGTCCTTAAATCACTTTGAACAAAAGATGCACGGTTGCTTGTTGGTAGATTTCTTTTCACGACCTGCCCTCCATACAGCCTTCTTGGTGTTAGAGCTACCACTGACTTCCTATCACTAGACCAAATCCTGTCGTTGTGCTCATTTGACCTCGCCCCTGCACTGCATTACTGTGCAACTCTCAATACTGTGGTTTATTAAGGTTGCCCTCCGACCTGCTTCTTTCCATCCTTTATTTTAAGTAAAAAAAACTCATTTACACAACAATACATGCTCTTTTTTTCATCAGTCCTCTGGACACGATTTTTGTTTCTCTTGAACTGTCATTGTCTGGGGTTCAGACCTCTGAGGTGCTGAAGGTGGCTCTTCTTTGGCTGATCATCGGCAGCCTGAAGTTGTGTTTGGTGCTCCTTACCTCATGAGCGATGAAGTAGTAGCACAGAGCGTCCAGACAGCAGGTGATGTTGGACAGGCACATGGCTGTCTGTATGAAGAGGCTGATCCTGATCTTGTTTTCACAGTCCTCGATCACTCCTTGGTGCACCTTCAGTATGTCAACAGTAACACATGGAGGACAGAGAAACTTTAGTCTATCCTGCCGATATTTTGTTTTGATAGAAAAAAGTTTTCACTTCAATATGACTCATTTATTTCTTAAAGCACGAGAACACGCCTACCAGCTTTTCATATTTCTGACTAAGCATGCGAAACATTTTCATTTCAACAAGAGACATTAATATTTCTATAATCCCGGTTTCAATTTTGCCCTGGCTTTCCCTGGGGTTCTTTTTGATGTTAAAGTTATTATAGATTGATTTAGTATTTTTTTTTTTTAAATATGAAAGGCAGTAAAACTTCTTCCTTCTTCCTTTGTTGTGCCATAATGAAAGATAAGCTCCAGAACAACTACAAAATGGACATTTGCTGCTTTCACCCATTTTAGGATTGAGTTTACTTAAAGCTCTTGTAGGGACCTTTTAGTATGTGTCCATATTGGTTTCTCCTGTGTTCAAAGTTGTACGCTTTTTTTTTGTTTGTTTTTTTTTGTACATTTTTATATCTTTCAAACAAACAATGAAGTTAAGAAAAACAAACAAACAAAAAATCTAACATTTTTAGGGAGCAGAAAGAAGACTAATCTTATAATATCTGCCCCTCTTTCACAAAGCATTAATTAAAACAAAACAAAACACTTAATTCAAAAACAATTAAAATAGAAAATAAATTGGCTGCAACCAAACACAGCCACTGGCAGCCCCATCGTAGGTCCTCCTAAACAATTCATTTGACACCGTACAAAGCATATCACAATATTTTTTTCTTTTCACAGCATCACAAAACAGAACAATACATCTCATTGACATATTTCCACATATTTATTCAACAAACTGGCTTTAATTTTTCTTTTAAATATCATGTTTGATTTTGATTCTTTAGTTTCTCTGTTGAGATTTTTCCATAAACCGATTCCTTTTACAGTAAAACAACGTTCCCTCAATTTGGTTCTGAATCTCGGTTAATTAAAGATCTCTGTTCCTTTTAAAAATGTAACGGCTTTCCCTTTTTTCAAATCTGTTTTGGATGTTTTTTGGCAACGTTTTCTGATTAGCTTTAAACATCATTTGCAGAATACTGTAATCAACTAATTCATGAAATTTCAACAACTTCAACTGAATGAATAGCGGGTTTGATGGATCTCTATACCGACTTCTACTGATGATTCTTCTGGCTCTTTTTTGCACATTGAAAATTAAATGAGTGAATGTTTTACAAGCACTTCCCCATACTTCAACACAGTATGTGAGATATGGAAGAATGAGTTATATAAAATGTACAATGCTTTATTATCTAATGAATCCTTAACTTTGTGTAGCAGAGCAAGTGCTTTTGATATTTCTGTTTTTTATATAATTTATGTGATTTCCAGTTCAGATTTTCATCAATCATGACACCTAAGAACTTAGTTTCCTTCATCATGAACTTTTTTTTTCAAGATTCAGTGATAATTTATTTATAATAAACCATTCTTTTATTTTCTTCAATTCATTTTTGACCACATCCAACATCTGTGATATGTTATTCCCAGAATAAAATAAGGTGGTATCTTCTGCAAACAGAATATACTTGAGCAGTTTGGAAACATTCACAAAATCACTGATGTACAAAATAAACAGTTTTGGTCCTAGGACTATGTTGTACAGATCTGATTTTATATTATTTATCTGAACGAATTATTTCCTGTTTTCTAAGTAACTTGCTACCCACGGATGTGCTACCCCTCTGATGTCATATTTGCTACGTTTTTTAAGAAGTGAGGAATGATCTATGGTGTCGAATGCTTTTTTTGAGGT